ATTATATCATATATGTATATTCCTAATTATAAAAAGAAGCGATGACATTAAGTTATATTCAGCAGCTAACAAACTCTTTGTCATTCTATTGTTTCGTTCCCTGACAAGTAAGATCGTAGTATTCGTTATCGTTTTGGAATTACTCGGCTTTCGTTGTGAAGCTTGTAGGTAAAAGATAAAATACATATAGAGAGCGATAGGGATGATGGTACTCACATCGGGGCAGTTGTATGCGAATAATCTCAGCTCTCCGTCGCTAGTAGTTAGAGTGGCCGAGCTCTCTCTCTCGTTTGTCTGTAACTGAACAAGAAATTCCAAGAGAATTTGAAAGGGCAACTCCAATGAATAAACAATGTTCTCGAAATTTCGCAATTACTACAAGGAAATTTCTACGATATTAAAATTTTCAATTTTTACAATAGATTCATAAATTAATAATTTTCTATGCAGTTCCAAATCGAACATTCTTTTTGAACAAGTGTCTCGAAATTAAACTTGCAGTTTCGACGAGCACAAATATAACGTGATATATTTTTAATGCGATAACTGTGCAAATGAATTATCACGCCCAAAACATATTTAGCCAGGTAGACATTGCAAAGATATAATGAATAACATGTATTAAATATCACATCGATAGATTGCAATTTGTTTTTTGCAAAAGATGCAAATTTTAACGACTTTTAACAAACTAAAAAAGAAAAATTTACTGATTCAGGATGATGACGAGTGTCGTACTTCGTTTATCTTAATTTCACGCAAACGCAGTCTTCAACGCAAAACGGGTGTATTTTAATTTCAACTCACCAGAGTGCGATGAAGAATCGATTTGTCCTCGCTGAAGTCCATCTCAGTGACCGACGCGATGGCGTCGCGTAGCTCCTTAGTGTCCTTGGAATCCTTGCTCTCTGTCTTAATCTTTGGTTTACCGTGACGAACACGCAGCCGCCTGTACTCGTCCGGGCAGAGCCTCTTCCACAGGTAATAGAATTGCACGCACTGTTTCGCGGACTTGCCACCGACGTCTCGCGAGATCGCTGAGAAGTCCTTGTTGTATTTCAACAGGCCTTGATAGAATGCGTCCATTTCCTGCGACGTCCACCGGTCAGATTCGTGGCACTCGTAACTCAGCAGCGGATGTTCCGCTGGCAACGGAGGCGTTGGTCTCATCAGTTTCAGCATTGCTTCCTACGAACGGACGACGAAATCACGATTGGCATTTGATTGAGGAAAGAATTTTGATAAAAGAGGACGTGAGGAATCCTAGCTTTCTTGAACTGGAAAGATTTTGCCATGTATCGTAAAATTGAAGTTACTTTCGCTCGAAAAAGTTTCGTCACAGGATTTTGTTGAGAAGTTGAAAAATAATTATATATTAGTAATGTTAAAACATACGAGAGAAAGTATACTTTAGAGCAGGAAAAATGAAAGAAACGTTTGAAAAATAAAACGTTTAGACGTTGCTCAGAAACTTAAAAATTAAAAAAAAAAAGAGAGAAAAAAATATGAAACATGGAATATAAGCAATGAGAATGGTTTTGTATATACATAATAGATAGCACAGAAGGAACAGTTGCAGTTCGAGAAAAATACAGATGATTTGTGCGTACAAACAGCTTCGGCGTATGAAGGTATTTAATGAAAATTAAAAAAAAAGACTGTTGTTAGAAAGTTGTATATTAGATATTCTTTTTGTTTCCCAATCGACGTGATGTATTATTCGAAAAAAGGAAAGCGAAATAGCATAATAGGGCGTGAAGGAATTAAACTAAAAGAATCGTACATGAATGTTTCCTTTGCACATGTGCAGCAGATGAAGCGCGTATTCTTTGTTCCTTCCTCCACCTGGTACCGCGGCGCAGCATGCAAATTGTAGGTACATTTCCACTGCAAAAACAAAAGTATTGTTTTTTTTTTTTTTTTTTTTGTTTCAGATACAATTTGCTCGCGTGGAAACAACCCGTTCTCCGGCGCGAAAGCACAAACGAAATGCAATTTACAAATGTATTTGTAGCGTGACGATATCGCGAACGTTTTACGTATTACCCTCGTGTGTTTTATATACAGTCTACGTTCATGGATAAATTAATCTACTTATTCTTTTGATGCCGATTCTGCGCGATACCGTATAGAAACACACTGGGGAACGTTGATCAACGAATGTCGATTGTTGAGCTACAGCCAGAGAAAATTAAGTTTCGTTCCATGGAATAACAATTATTACGACATATATTTTTACGAAATTATTGCTTTTTGATTATGTTCTCTTTTACTGATTTGAAATGGATTATAAAGTCACAAATATATTTACAACTTAGAACTGTATCATTAATAACCTGGGACACGACAATTTTAGCACGTAAATTTTTCAATTTTACAATCAACGAACACGAGAAAGTAATTATTTTGTAATCTGATGAAATATGTTTTCTATAAATACAGAGTCACAGTTCTATATACAAAGTCTCAATATACACTGTACAATCGTCTGAAAATTTAGTTCCTTCTCATTTTCAATACATATATACAAGCCGGAGATAGAATTGTTCATCGGAGATAGAATCAGACCAGAATTTAATACAAATCAGCGACTCAGAAGCGAGAACAGTAATGAAAATCCTCAATTTAAGAAGAATCGTGGACAAAATAGAACTTCAATAAAAAAAAGGCAAAAGGTACCCCAAAATCCAATCAAAAAGTTCCAATCGAAAATCCCAATTGTTACACTTACGTTCGTTATCCGTCAGCAAGTTATTTATACCAGGATCCCAGAGCAGGTGATCAGCCTTAGGTTCGCCTTTTCCTCTATCTCCGTCGCTGCCGATCGGCGGTATCGTTGCCTGGTACCTCGTCCCGATGTTGATTCTAGGCGGAGGTCCGTCGTTCCCTTGCGAATCGTCCGAGCTAAAGTCAGAGTCCCTCTCGTACTGATGTAGCCTGGCGTACAGCCCTGGCCCAGGTCTGGAAGGGTCCAAAATCGGCGGAGGTGTGTAGCTACTGTCCCAATGTCGGTCACAGGCCTTCCTCAATCTCGACGGGTACGAGTGCGACGCGTTCGCGTACAATCCACCGTCCATGCGAGGCCTTTTTCTGCACTGTCTGACAGGGCTGCCAGTCGGCACGTTGCTAGGATTGAGGAAAACATCCTCGTCGAGAAGCTCCTCCTTGATCTGTTCCACCGGGATGGGCAAGCTTCCACTGATCGTTTTCTGTCTCATGTTGTTGCTCTTGGCCACGTTCGTCTGTATGAGAAACTTGGTCGGGTTGACCATTTGCTGCTGATTGAACTGGCCAGCGTTGTACTGATGATTCGTCTGCACGTTTAGGCCGAGGTTTACGGTGACAGGCTCCACTTTCGGTGTGGCCAGCCGCATCTCCTTCTTGAAGGTCAGTGCCGGGCTCAGAGAGCCCGTCTGCACCAGCACGTTCGTCTTTTGCAGTCCGGCTGTCTGGATGAGCTTGAACTCACCGTTGTTGTCCACGACGATGCCAGCCAGGCTACCGTTGCCCAGTCCGAAGTCGACCAAGTTCTGGCTGGTGATGAACTTGTACGATTGGAATTCGAACCGTCTGCGACTGGCTGTCGTGAAGTCCTTGGGTGTGGACGAGAGCAGTGGATCCTCCGAATTTGGCATCATTTGATTTTGGAGCGCGTGATGCGGTGACACGGGGAAGCTGGTGCCGGTGAACGACACTGGTCCCGGTGACGAGACTGACGACGGTGGCAACGAGGACAGCGGCGATGGTGCTGGAGTCGCCGACAAGGGGCTTGGCAGTGGCGAGTGCGGATTCGGCGAACCGGATCCGTATAGGTCGGCGTCTGCCTCGGATTCGCCTGGCAATACTTCGCTCAGAGCTTCCTCCACCGCTGCCGCGGAGGACATCGGGGTCGCGTAGAAAGCCGCTGACAGAGGCGACGAGACCTGTCTCACGCTTTCTGGATCCTCCTGAGGACTCAACAGGGGAAAGCTTCCGGTTAGGAGACCCTCTTGGCTAGCTGGCGGCGTTGGATATGTGAAGCTTGGACTGTCGTGTCTCGTCAGAGGCGATGACAACGGAGACTGAGTTGGCAAGGTGTGCGGGCTCTCTGTGTATTGGGCACCGTAGGTACTGAACTCGGCTAGCGAGTCCGGTAACGGGGAATTGACCAGTGCTTGCAGGTCTGGGTTCACCGTGTGCTGAGATGGATATCGATCCTCCAGGGTGATGTCCTGCAATTGCTCGGCTGGCTGTTCTTGCAGTAGACTCGCTGTCTGAAACTGAACAGATTGGCGTTTGATTGTTCTTTTCTGCGATTATTCTTTTTCATCTACTTGACTCTCTTTATAGATTATAATACTCTGTAATAATTTTTTAGTACGAACGCTATCTTCTGATAAAATCTGCGCTCATAGTTCCGTACATTATATGTACCATCTAACAACTCTATATCAATAACAATATGTTGCACGATCGTTGGGTATATCATGACCATTAGATTATTAAAAAATCAATATGATCCGAAAAAAGATACCGAAAGTAAAATAAACTCAGTTTAAAAAAAAAAAAAACATTTGACTGCACCACGATAGTCAATGAAGAAACTTACACTCGTTCCTCGATCGTTTCGATCAATTAATCGCGGAAACACGGAAAGTCGTATTTGAAAAAAAAAAAACATTGCCTCGAGTTTCACGTGGGATGATATCGAGCCTCATCCTAGAAGCTCTCGTCAAAAATTGAATTTGTTAAGGGACTGAGGAGGGGAAGCTGGTGGAATAAAGGCGTTCCAATGGCATGTCGATGGATGTAGCCATTACGTTAGAATTCTTGATATTCATAGGTTAGACATCAACGAGTCTTCTTGACAACAGGACAGAGAGAGAGAGAGAGAGAGAGA